TCAAATTTCAAAACTACCCAAATTTGGGTAGAATCCACCCAGATCCGTCAAAACTAAACCTACCCAAAAAATGGGTAAACTGTGTTGGGAGTGACAAGTTGACAAATTAAAAACGTCGATCGGATTCATGTCAATGTTGTTCATTTTTCAACAACACAGTTTACCCATTTTTGGGTAGACTCAGTTTTGAACGATCTGGGTGGATTTTACCCAAATTCGGGTAGTTTTGATATAGCGTGTATCATGCAAAGTAAATAAACATCACGAAGCCATGTCCGGAGTAAATTGTGATTAGAACGAAACTAGCAAATTGTAAACAAACGGAGATTTTACTGCAATCAGACGGAGCAGGTAAAGATCTTCTAACAAATACCCACATTTTTTTCTAATGTTCCACTATCGAAAAATCCGTGCAAAGCGAAAGGCGAAACATAATTTATTTCTAAAAAGGGGCGACCCTGGCGTAGTGGTTAGCATCCATACCTCTCACGCCAAAGTCACGAGTTCAAATCTCACCCCCGGACAAGTCACGAATGACCCAAGAGCGTTAAAGTGACTAAAAAAAAAAAAAAATATTTCTAAATAAGCTTCAAAATGGATTACGGTCTTTTCTTTGTCTACGATAGTACAGGGCGCAATTTTGAAACATTTCAATGAACGTGCGCAATCAGTGTTGTTTACCAATAAAAGTGAAAATAGTAAAGGCTAATCTTTAGCTGAAACGTAAGCACGACGAAAAGTGAAGGGTGACACTTTTAAGGTAATCAAAACAAGGCGCATAGTATTGTGCGAATTGTTGTTGTCATCAACTCTGCACACTGTGCCGAAATACAGCATGGCACACTATTCGGCACCTTAGGGCACTCGTTGACAAGTAGGACACAAACAATATTATGTAAAACGGCATCACTGTCGAGTGTTGACGTTTTTCCAATCGTTGCTAATGGGTCGAAAAAGTTCCAAGGAAAAATCTGTAAGTTTTTTCTACACCATGAATCTCATCAAAACCAACAAATCTCGTCCGATTCGTAGCGAAACTCCCAGCGGCTAGTGGTTTTGTCCATAACTGCTTATATTCAGGCCTCACACCTACAGAGTTATATATATAGGCAGAGTTATATATATCGGCAGAGTTGTGACCTATCACAATCACCATCATCAAACAGCTGATGGTAGTAACGCTTTGTACATTCCTATCAATGTGCTCGTCGAAGCTCTCTCCATGACCAGCCATCAAGTTGACGAAAGAAGTAAAAAGCAACTGGTGAATCTCGTCTTCTGTTGTGATCCATCACCGATCTGGTCATTCCTGACAATCACGACACTCATCTGTGCTCGTTTTGAAGCAGTTGCTGCTTTGCTTGCTTATGTGAGTGTGTTGGTGAGTGAGCCCAACAGCTTCCGTTTAATGTTGCTTGCTTTGTTTGTAACTCACACACTCGCGCCTGCCGAGACGAACTTGGAATGCGAAGGCATTGTTTTCATTTTGAAGTCTTCACTGTTCGTTGTGCTTTACATTATCAGCAGCGAGTGTAAAGATTTGCTTGTGAGCAGCGACCATTATTGGTGATTGTTGTTTTCCATGGCTCTAACTCTCACTGCGTGACAAAACGATCTGTAAGCGATAGTCGGTTGATGCGAAGACGAGTGTCACGTGAGTATCATGATATTTTGCATCACTGGTCTAAATCATGGTCAACAGAACCCTTATAAAACCAAAATTGTTACTTGGAGGGACTTTCCTGAAATTCCCGGGTTCTTGAATTTTAGCAGAAGTTAATGAAACTGTCTCTATTTTAACTAACCCTTACAGATCTTTAAACTTACCCAAATGTCTGAACGTTTTTCAAGTTCCAGAACCTCTTAAAAGTTGCATCAGTTTTCTGGAAGCTAATGGAACCGCAATAAAACTCTGGAAGCATCTCTCAAGTTGAAAAAATAGCAGAAGCTTGACAAAATGATCAATTTGTGGCTCTAGAATTCCTAGGGTCTGTAAATTAATCAATTTGTCAAGCTTCTGCATTCATGTCACTGATGTTGTTTGTGGTGACATCTATCGAAAACTAGACACAATCTGTTTTCCTATAATTGTTCACAGAGGACACTGCAGTGCAAAACATGTCTGGTACCTCTATATATGCATTTAGATTATTATTCGAAGTCCCTCCTTTTTAACACTTTCTGCACACAAAATAGCTCACCCTTCACAGAATTTCCCGCCTATTTTCATATATCAATTATATATATATTTATATATCAATATAAAGTATCTTTTGCGCAGAATATGTAAAAAAGGAGGGACTTGAAATGTTAAAACAAATGCATATATAGAGGTACCAGACATGTATTTTGTAATCTGTGAAAGGGAAATCACAAATAGAGTGTCAACAAAATACATGGCATGTTGAGAGATTGAGGTCGTGAGAGCAAATTTTCTCTCTCAAATTTCATTTTTTTGGCTCTCTGGGAGCTGGTAGTAAATCAGGTAAAACTGTTTGGGGAAAAATCATTTTTATTTAATTGTAGCTTGTTTAACAATAATTTCCGGGAAAAAACTGAACTACAAAGTCCCTGCTTAATTTCTTTAGGTTGTCGTTCACTTTTTTTGACCTACATATGCACCGAAAACGAATTATTCCCACTTCTCTCAACTTCTATATGGAGATTTTTATCACTTCCTACCAGCGAAACAGTGCCATCTCTGTTGAAAATGTCCGAACAAAATGATTAATTATTTTGATTGTGAAAAGATTGAAAGTAGGGTTGTCTGCTTCATGTGATCGACAGGGTCTGGGTACCTTTTCAGATTTCCAGTTAAGAAATTATACATTTATTTTCACGACAGGAAACCAGAATTCAGTGACATCTTAGAACTCATGGAGATACAACTTTTCATGAAGAAATATTTCATATTGCGGCAAAGAGCTTCTAAGGGGGGGGGGGGTTTCTGAAATTGTTTACCCTTTAGGAGCTCGACAAGGGTATCCGGGTACCCCACAGAATTGAAACGCTTGCTACTGCGGCTAATTTTGACCGAATTTGAATCTTTTGACACCATTAGATTCAGAAACTTATCCTCTCTCTGGAAATTGCTAACAATGTCTATCTAGAATCGTCTGGTTTTTGGAAATCCGGATTTCCTGTATAATGTTCCAGAACAAAGAATTCCCTAATAAAAAATTACCATAAACGAACGATATCCCAAATGATTTAACTATTTAACAAATGATTTGGATGATACTCCAAACACTTCGATAAGCAAATTAAAAATAACATTTTAATTAGGGTATTCTTGCCATTTTCGCTAGAACTTCGAAGGAATCGATATCAAAGTATCAGAATTTCCTTCAAGAAACAATTTCAGCTCATTTGAGGACCTGTTTAAGGTTTGTCCTCGGAACGACCATTCCGGAGCAGGTTCCCGTAGGGCCTCTAGTGGCCGTAACAGTGTTTGGAAAGGAACCCCTACAATATGGGTATTACAATTCATGACTTTACAGCAGAAGACCGTTTATCATAATTTTGTGGTCATTGGATGCATTGTCTTCCGAACGGTCATTCCAGAGCAGTGGCCATAAAAGTGCATGGTAAGAAACCCTTAATTCTGGAACATTATACAAGAAACCCGGATTTTCGAGAACCAGACTATTTCGGATGGACATTGTTGGCAATTTTAAGAAAGAGGATAAGTTTCTGAATCCAATGAATCCAAAAGATTCAAAATCGGTCAAAAATGGCCGTAGTAGCAAATATTTCAATTTTTGGGTACCCGGGTACCCATGTCGAGCTCCTAAAGGTGTTCTTTTTAACGATCACATAACGGTTAAAAGTGAAAAGAGTCGCTACACGTTTTTTAAGGTGTGTTTACGGGTTTTGCAAGTGGCTTAAGATCTATTATTTAGATTAATGGGAACAATTGTTCATAATTATCCAGAATACAGTCATGGTTCCTATAAATATATATCCTGGAGACAATGGCGGTCCTCGATAGATCCGGAACATCCGTAAAAGTGGTCAATCAACGTACCTGATCCAAGAGCTACGTGTTTTTGTTTTCGAAAACATTAGGTACTATGATAAAAGAAAGAATTTGGGGTCGTGACATAAACATGGACCTAGATGGCCATTGAACCGTCCTCCGGAAGATCCGGAACATTAGTAAAAGTGGTCAATTCATGAAACTGATCCTGGAGCTCCACAGTTTTTGAAAAAAAAAAACTAGGAACTGTGATGATAGAATGAGTTTGGGCTCGTGTCATAAATATGGACCCTGATGGCCATGAGACCGGAACATCTGTAAAAGTAGACCATCCACGAAACTGATCCGAGCTCCGCGATTTTTCTGGAAACATTATGTATGATCTGTGATATTAACTAGAATTTGGAGTCGTGACCCAGATGGCCATCGAACCGTCCTCCGAAAGATCCGGAACATCTGTAAAAGTGGGCAATCTATGATACTGATCCTAGAGCTCTGTGGTTTTTTGAAAATACTTGGAACTGTCATATATAAATTAATTAGGATTGTAACATAAACATATACCTAAAAGGCCATGGAAACGTCCTCCGGAAGATCTGGAACATCCTTAAAAAGGGTTAATCCACGAACCTGATCCAAGAGCTCCGCGTTTTTTTTCTAAAACATTAGGTACTATGATATAAGAAAGAATTTGGGGTCATGACATAAACATGGACCTAGATGGCCATTGAGCCGTCCTCCGGAACATCCGGAACATTCGTAAAAGTGGTCAATGCATGAAACTGATCCGAGTTCCGCGATTTTTCTGGAAACATTATGTATGATCTGTGATATAAGCTGGAATTTGGAGTCGTGACATAAACATGGACCCAGATGGCCATGAGGCCGTCCTCTGGTAGGTTTGAAACATCCGTAAAAGAGGTCAATCAATGAAACTGGAGCACTAGGATCATTTTCATGGATGGACCACTTTTACGGATGCTCCGGATCTTTCGGAGGGCGGTCCCATGGCCATCCAGGTCCATGTTTATGTCGCGACTCTAATGTCTCTAGGATCATTTTCAGGGATGGACCACTTTTTCGGAAATATTGGATCTTCCAGAGGAAAGATTTCCCAATAGTTGCTGCAACTTTATTGGGATTGGAATAAGTAACGTTTATGTCTCTACAACCGTCTTTATAGGGAATAGCTCTCCGATCAACTCTGAAATTCAATCAAAATACAATAGCATGAACTACTCGTAACAGTTAAACTTGGTGCAACAATATTAAAACGCGCTCCCTCACTAGCATCTCCATCTTCACTGACCTGTTCTGCCGTAGTGGCTGCATTTTGATAACTTAAAGAGCCAAGGACAGTTTTTCGGACCTTCTGAGCCACAAACAGAAACTAGTAGTAAAATAATGATTGATCTTGTTCTAAAAATTTAAAGATCATTCATATCTGATTCCTATCCGGTACTGATTCGCAGTAGCATGTTTTTTAACCTCACACTTGATATGTGATTTTCCATATTTTTTCTCTGTTATTTTCCTAGATTTACGTCAGAAAAAGACTTCACTCATCTTTCGTCAGAGAACATTCATATGTGTGATATATTGAGTTTCCGTGGGGAAATAATAACATTAATCATAATCAAAAAATATGTAGTCGAGTTTATTAAAGCTGTTTTGTCCTTCATTCTCGTTGTGTCCTATCCTCGGGAAGTCAGGATTTGTTGTAGTAACAATAGTAGTGGTAGTAGTGTAGTAGTAAGTAGTAGTGGTAGAAGTAGTAGTAGGGTTGTTCTACGTAGTTACGGTTCCTCGACTAACTTCCATTGGTTTCAGTTAATAATTTAAATTCAATTGCTACCCTAAAATTGGTTTACCTTACGCGTTCCTGGTTGGTTTGTTCTCTATAGCCTACGGTTTCATATTCTCATACTTAATATATATATTCTCATCTTCAGCACTGTTTTTTTTTTCTCTTCATATCTTCCAAATTCCGACCTCACGGGTGGAAAGAATAACACTGTACATCTATAATTTGTTAATTAAGTCTAAATTAAATTAGTGTTTTTCTGCTCAGGAGCAACGATGCGGGACGAATGGCGAACGATGAACGATGAGCACCCGAATGTGACGATCGTATGTGTTAATAATATTCTATTAATGGTAATGATGACGATTGATGCATTGTGTGTGGGTGCGCACAACCGCTAAGAACCCACAGTTGGACACACGACGACGACGACGTGGAAAATGTCTAATATCGCTGCCGGAGAGGAACATTCCGGTTTCGAGGTACGGACGATGATGATGATTGCTGTGGCAAGGACAAGGACGATCACCCGACCTGCCTTGGTGGAGATGTTCTGCTTGTTCGGCTGGACTAAGACTAATAATCGGTTGATGTGCTCACTCAAACTGGTTTCCATCGTATTGTGGTTCAGTGGCCTCCGGAATCTATTACGACTTTTTCCTCTCCCGCAGCGGAATGTCGTCCTCCTGACATCATTGGTTCGCCGAGGTATAGTTCTGCAGGGAGACGGAAGAGAGGGGATTTGATTAGATTGACTTTTTTCCAACACCCACATGGATGCAACAAGAGTGGTGTAGCTAAGAAAATGTTCTAAAATGGGGTTCGAGAAGTAGAGAAAGAGAGAGAGCGAAAATGTGACCAATTTACGATAATGAAACAAACACTCTGATTCTTGCTATTTTTTTTTTTGTTTTGTTTGAAGGAGAGAAAGAAAGTATCGGTGATTCTTATCTGGCAACAATTAACATCGAAACACGTTTGAAGGTTCCTTTTCTCCGTGGAATGTAATTTTGTATTTACATGTAGATGTACAAGGTGAGTGAAATCTATCTGTATATAGGTTAGAAAGAGTGATACTCAGAAAGCATAGGAAATAACTAGAAGATTGATAGGTTGAAGAAAGGTCTAATAGAAGAAGTGGAAATCTAAAGGTAAACACAAGATAAAAAAAGTCATGAAATTTAACGATGAAGCTCGTTTTTCGAGGCAGAGAGCTCTACTTAGATTCGAACATAAACAAATAACACCTATAAACATAAAACATCAATGGCCCGGACTGCTCCATTCCGGCCACTCCTCCAAGGGAGGAAAAGAACGTAGAAAGTTGGAAAAGTGAAAGAGATAGAACAACGGATAAGTAGGTCGATTGAAAGAAACAAAAGTTGTTTAAATTTGGTACGAAACGCAGTGCTATTCCGATTTCGAATAGAAGAAGTGATGTATGCTAGTTGTCTAGGAAGGGTGTGGAAAATGTGTTCGCGTGTATCCGATTGGAATATTTTGGTTCAGTGTTAAGAGGAGAATGTACAGAGTGAATAATTTTGCAGCAGAACAAATTGTGTGGTGTGAGCTTTGTCCAATAGGTGGGGTCTGTACATGTTTATGTACATCATCCTTGCGCTGAGAGTAAAGCTGTGTGGTCGAATTGCAGATTGTTTCTTTCTCTCGGTGCCTGAACAACTTGTCTAGCATCTAGTTACGATAAAAATCACGTGTATGTACAAAAGCTGAATGTGATATCAGTTTTACTGTTACTAGCTAGATGCTTTCGAGCCTGGAAGCATTATACTGCATATATACACACGATCTCATTTATGATCTAGCTATTATGACTACTTTAAAGTATTATTTTACATGATATTTTATTCCGCTTGGTTATTATTCAGTTCATAAATATGTTCTTGAGTTTAACAAGTTTGCTGTTTGAAAAAGATGTATCATGCTTTTAAGTGTAATGATAGAATCCTATCTTTCAAGCCGCTCTATAGATAATAGTTTTGTCTTCTACTTATTGAAAAAATCCACCTGTTTTCAACTTAAGTGACTGAAATTCTTATATGTTAGCCGCTTCCGGAAGGTACATCGATGTTATTTAATGATTCGAAATATTGAATATGAGGTACAGTTAGGAATCCTTATTGCCGGGGTAACAGGGGCGTGAATAAGGAACAGCGAATAAGGATACCCACAGCTTATGGGATTTTCACTAATGGGGGCTGTAGTGGATTATCTCATTTGTTTCAATATACTATACTGTCTCCGACAAAGTTGTTGTACTGGGATAGACCAACAAGCCTGTGTCATTGGATTCAGGTTTAATTGGGAACTACGCCGCTAGAGGTGCTTCACTTTCATGTTACTTATGACGGGCGCTATAATATATGGATCTTAGGTCCAACATAGAATATTCTGTGATCCTGGCCATATAGAAAGTTACTGTCTACAGCAAAGCTGTTCAAGTGACCAAGTCCTTTTGGATGGTGGTCATATTAGTTCAGAACTCTCTCACTACGCAGCGCTAGTGTGCACACGAGCTTGCTATATAAGCTGTATCTCAAAATCCTGGCCATTCAGAAGGTTACTGTCTTCAGCAAAGTTGTTCAAGTGATAATGTCCTTTTGTATGGTGTTCATATTAGTTCAGAAATCTCTCACTACGCAGCACTAGTGTGCATGTGAGCTTCCTATATAAACTGTATCTCGAGAGCCTGGCCACATAAAACGATGCTGTCTCCAGCAAAGTTGTTCAGGTGACCAAATTCTTTCGGATGGTGGTCATATTATTTAAGAACTCTCTCACTACGCGGCGCGGCATGAACTTCCTCAATATGTTATGTCTGAAAAGCTTGTCCATATAAGATGTTGCTGTGCAATGTGAGGACACGAAACGACGTGTAGAGGCTGGAAAGCGATGCCAGACGCCATTTTGAAATCCAAGATGGTGGCCATTTATTCAAGAAAAACTGTTCAAATACGCTACAATATAGTTATTTTCCGAAAAGGGATCACGTGTAGAGATCAGAAATCAATGCCAGACAGCATGTTGGAATCCAAGATGGCGACAATCAGTTCATGAAAAACTGTCAAATACCCTACAATATGGGTATTTTCGGAAAGGGAAATTCAAGATGGAGGCCACCGGTTCAAGGAAAACTGTCTAATACCCTACAATATGGCTATTTCCGGATAGGAGATAACGTGTAGCGATCAGAAATCAATGCCAGACAGCATTTAGGAATCCAAGATGGCGACAATCAGTTCATGAAAAACTGTCAAATACTCTACAATATGGGTATTTTAGGATAGGGGACGACGTGTAGAGGCTGGAAATCTATGCCAGACGCCATTATTTAATCCAAGATGGCAACTATCGGTTCGAGGAAACCTGTAAAATACTCTTAAATATGGTTATTTCCGTGTAGGGGACGACGGAGGAGTTTTGCGCAGCCAGGAACATTAGCTTCGAGGCTTTGCTGCTCCTTGATAACGCTCCGTCGCATCCGTCCACCCTAAGCAATTTCAACATAATGCTTCTATACATGCCACCAAAGATCACGTCTTCGATTCAACCCCTTGATCAAGGCATCATCAAAAAATTTCATGCTGAAGTATGTCAAAAGAAGCTATAGTTTTATTCTGGAAACAGCCGAGAATGAAGGCCTTTCACTATCGGATACCCGAAAGTAGTTCAGCATCAAGAATTGTTTCGACTGCTTGGGTGTGCTTCTAAAGGACATAACACAAAGCACGTTGGTATACTGCTTGAAGCAAATTCTTCCGTCGTATTTCGCGAATTCACAATGCAATGAAGACGACAACGAGGATTTGAAGATCATGTCCAAAATTCTACAAATTCACGGAAAGTTTGGTGCGCCGGGGATATGAAACACGGGGAAATCAACGAAATTATAAGAGATGAACCGGCTAGAGCAGATGAAATTGTTAGCGAACTGGACCCATCTACAATGAATATGGATTATATTTTCATCCCACCACGGCAGAAATCGAGTTAAAAAAAAATCAACTCTCTGAGTTCGAAAGCTTCTGCACATTGTACAGTAATGTCAAACAGAGTGCAAACATGCAAGATTTGCTAAGGGAAGTCGAAACGTTGCCATCTTGCTCAATGATACATTATACATATTATAAAAATTAAGCGCAATATGCTTGGTAAGCATTATTCAGGAAAATTAATGCGAGTCAAGATTTTGAGCTCCAAAATACCCTAAAACATTGATTAGACAAAATTCATCTTCCTAGTGGATTATCGCAAAACCTACCCCTTAAGGGGGTATTCCCAATCTTTTGCCTTTTTTCGGCCTGTTTTTCAATTAATTTTTTTTTCAAGGAAAATGCATAGTAATGCGCCTAACTCTTTGGGATTCTTGTTTATTGAACATTAAAGTTTACAAATAAATTTTTTTCGACATAAAAAAAAGACATTATTGACGTCACAAAATGGCGGCAAACAGACCCCTGTTCGCCGCAAACGCCTGGACGGGCGAAGACTTTTCTCTGGAACGGCTTCATCTGAATCAGATTTCGTGATGAAATTAATAATCTGCATAAGATTCTCTGGAGCTTCTCCCGTTGGCAGCAAAAAATCTTGCAAATTAACAAAATGGCGGCCATATGAAAAAACAGGCGATTTTTAGCCCACTTTTTTGCAGATTTAAGGTGCTTCAAACAATGTTAAATGTTAATATTTTTGGCTGAAAGTAGGAGAAGCTCCAAAGAATTTAATAAGGAACAAAATGCGCCCGATAAAAAAAAATGTGGTTTCGAGAAAAACGCGTTTAAAGTTTTGACTTTAGTTAAAACCATTTGGGGGTTCTTACCATTAGTCAGCTATGCCTGGACACCGAATTCGCTGATCAGAAAACGGCTTGGGGGGATGAAAGTATATAATCTAAAGACAAAAAAACGTGAAGAAAAAAATTTGATTTTTTGTAAAAAAAAGATCGGGAATACCCCCTTAATCGGTCCACGTTAACTGTGCTGAACTGATACAAGACTGTCCATAGCCACTAAATGTCCCTTCGAAAGCTAATTTCCACCATTTTGGATCCTAAAATGGTGGCAGACATCGATTTTGGGCCTTTACACTTCGTCCCCATTAATAGTTTACGTTAAAGCAAAGGCCGCCATCTTCAATTTCAAAATGGCGCCTGGCATCAATATCTTATATCTACACGTCGTTCCCTATCCAAAAAAAAAACCATATTGTTGAATATGACAGTTTTATTGAACCGATGCCCACCAGCTTTGATTCCAAAATGGCGACTTGAATCTATATCCAGTCTCTACACGTCATCCCCTCGCCGAGTATACCCATATTGTAGGGTATTTTACAGTTTTTCTTGAACCAATGGCCGCCTTCTTGGATTCTAAAATGCAGCCTGGAATCGATTTACGGCTTCTACACGTCGTCCTCGTTCTGGAAATACCGATATTGTAGGGTATTTAACAGTTTTTTTTTGAACCGATGGCCGCCATCATGGATTCCAAAATTGCGTTTGGCATCGATTTCCAGTCTCTACACGTCATCCCCTTTTCGAAAATACCCATATAGTAGGGTATTTGACAGTTTTCTTGAACCGATGTCCACCATATTGGACTCAAAAATTGCGTATGCCATCGCTTTCCAGCCTCTACAGGTCGTTCTCTTTCCGAAAATACCCATATTGTAGGGTATTTGACAGTTTTTCATGAATCGT